ACCCTCACTGACCAGTGATCTAGTGACACACTTGAGAACCGATGACTTTGGCACAGTATACGATTTTTAGACATTCCTCAGCACAATATAATAGGAAGCAAAAAAATATGGTATTGATGTGAATCTAAAAATACACATGGCAAGCTGGGAAGAGAGTACTCTTAAATAACACACAAAGGGAACCAGCCATTGGAACTGTAACAGTCCAAGCAAAAGGTGCATGTATAAAATATTTTCAGAGGTCTCGTTTCTCAACACAGAATCGTATACAGTGGGCAAGAAATCCTTCTGTATCATCCCCCTCCTCTATCACCTTCACATAAACTGCTGATAATCAAACAGCTGCCCGGTCAAGTGTGTGTTTCCTCAGTTCCTAGGCCTATGATGCTAATACTTTTACTTATTCTTATTGTAATACTTATTCTTATTGTAGAGTGACTTCATAAATGCATGTTATATTTTTAATTCAAAAAGTAAATTCCGGGCCGGCCCGGTGGCGCACTGCTACAGTGCGCTGCTTGGGAAGTGCGGCAGCGCCCCCGCCGAGGGCTCGGATCCCACATACAGACCGGCCGCTCACTGGCTGAGCGAGGTGCGGGTGCAGCACCGAGGGCTGCGATCCCGTGGCCGGTCCCGATCTGGTACGGGCGCGACACTGAGGGTTGCGATCCGTTGCCGGTCACGAAAAAAGACAAAAAGGGAAAAAAGTAAATTCCTTAAGAGTGAAGAAGGGAAAATGTGAAGAGAACTAACATTCACTGGTACGTGTTTTATGTGTTAAGCACTGTTCTATCTTATATAAAAGTCTTACAAAATATCTCACTTAATCTTCCCTATCACCGATATGTACGTATTTTTATACCTATTTTACAGATGACAAATGTGAAGCTCAGAAGGGTGAAGTTACTTGGGGAGACTATAAAGTCACTCACTGAGTCATGTCTGAGCCTCCACATAGCCCGCGTTTTTCCTGCTGCTGCTGCTGCCACTAGAGGCTGCCACTCTTACACACTCGCACTATGCAGACAGAAGCCATCCAAATGCTTTTTTCATATGAACTGAGTTGAATGATTGACAATAGGGTAGCCCCATGATGGTACTTAGCTAATAATATTTTATGACCAGAGTCTGGCCCTGTCTGTGGCCCTGAAGGAAATTAGAGGAAAATGAAGACCTTGATGACGTGTTATTATCAAGGTGGTTCACCTCTGTATCACACTTTGCGCCACTACCCAGAACACTAGAAACTTTCTAACATGCTGTAACCATGAAAAAAACGTTTCAGACTGTAAATGATTTATTAAGTTGACTTGTGTGGCTATATTAAAAAATGGTAACCACAGGACTGCGTTTTATATCCTTTTCCCATGAACAGAGGAAAGGTTTCGATAAGCATCTTATTGTACTGCCTATCACTTATTGAATCCTTGTGTGCCATGTCTGTATCTTATGAATCAGCAATATTTCTGCTCCTTAGATAACCCACAAGTGTTAGCTGAAAAAAGAAAAGGAGTGTTCTCAAAGCTTATGCTATTTTCCTTTTAAAATGCTTATAATTTATATTGCATAAAACTTGAAATGATTCTTCTTTTGCTTTAAATAACCCAGGAAAGAAACCCCAAAATTTACTGAGCATAGTAATTTCAGCTAGAAGTTAGTATCTAAAATTGGTAAGTGGTTTTTCATATTCCTTCATCACCCAATATATATCTGATATCTTAGCTACATTTCCTTGACAGTATTTAAACATGATAACCATAACACTTTAAGAGAACTTTATTGTGTAATATTTGCATTTACTATAAATGCAATAAAAATAAAACAAGAGCAACCAAATGGTTAAGTGTAGATTATTATCAAAGTCCTAGCTTTGGTTTTGAGTAGTCAGTTTGCTAGGGCTTATTATTAAAAATAATCAAGTGTCTCTCAAAATAAATAAATGCTTGTTATGCTTGGACCAACGATGAGTGTGTGCATGAACCGGGGATGAATATTAATCCAATGCTGTCCATCGGAGTCCAAATTTTTTAAAAAGACAGAAAAAACAAAAAGCATTTAAAAAGTTAGCTATTAAATAGGGGTAGTAATAGAAGATAGATAAGGAAACCACAAAATAGATTTAGAAAATTCCAAATGGCACAGAGCACATGGACTAAAATTTTAAAAATGGAGAAGTTAGTAGTTCCAGCTCAATCACATGCTGTTTGATCATGCACGTAAGTCTTGGCTGGTAAACTTGACCATTGTCTAATTCACAGACATAAAAAGCATGATCTCATATAACATACCAACTAGTTATATATTAACATCCTTTCTGTAGTTTCTTCCTCTATAATGCCTCAAGTTTTCTTTCAGCATTTGATTACCATTCGTGTTTCCTTCGCACAATTACAAATTCTGTATCCTTATAGATGGCCTATGAGCTAAAAATTTCAGAGCTACAGAAAGATTAATTCTCAAAGTACAAGAGGACATATCATGGATTGATAACCTAGCATCACTTTTATGACGATGTCTAGGATCCTTAATAAATCATATTTAATAACAACAGCAAAAAAGGAAATTCCAGGATCACTTGACATTCATGGCCTCTCTATAAAAGAAAACAAAGTTCTTTTCAATCCAACTACTACCAGGCTTCTGCAAGAAATCCTCTTTTGATAATGTTTGTATTTAAATGCACGTTATAGTTTTAAAGTAAATAAATTTCTGTTTAGAGAAGTTGTAACAAACGTAGTTTCTAAGATCAAAAACACTTACATTAGGGAATGAGGTGTTTAAAGAGACAACTCTACAAAGAAGAATATAAAGAATAAGATTTCCTAAAAACAGTAATAAAGGCTATAAATATAAATAAATTCAAGGAGGGGGAATAGAATTTTAAGCAGTAGAGAAGTTGGGGTTCACTGAGGTGCATCTGTAGATTTCCAAGTCCTGCTGTTGATAACACCAGTAGGCCTGGAAAAGAGGAGAAACAAGGAACTTCTGTAGACAAGACCCTACAAATAGTGTTCAGTTTATTCAGAAAAAATCATTATCAACACAGTCCTAGGCCCTGGTGATAATGATTTTTGGCTTCAGTCAGTATTAATCTCCAAGAACTTGAAGTGGAATAGTGCTAAGCTATTGAGGAGAGTCTACTTCCCAAGGGGCTGAAGCCAGAAAACTATGATAACTTTCCAAAAGGTTACACGGCAAGCTCTTTTCATACCTACCACGGCTATTAACAAGCATGGTAACAATGCTTCATTTTCAGAACACTGATAATTACAACACTAGCACTATTCAGTAGAGTCTACTGCACCCAAGATCCAGACTAATAACGATAACCCACCAACCCACAATCAGTCTCCACAACTTAGGTCCAATATTTGTCCAGTTTTTCAGATAAGGCAACACTGATTCACAGATTGTAAAACAATTTATTCCCAGTTTAAACCTAGTCCATGAAACAAAAAGTTAGTACTTCAAAATGCTATGGAAAAGGAAATTATAGTGTATGGAACAGGAAATTATAAGAAATGAATTACAAGAAACTGGAACCTTTGGGCAATGCTAATGGGAAAGTAAAATGGTGTACCCACAGTGAAAAACAGTATGATGATTCCTCAGAACTTAAATAGAGAATTACTCCATGATCCAGCAATTTCACTTCTGGGTATATACTTCAAAAAAATTGAAAGCAGGGACTTGAGCAGATATTTATACACCAATGTTCATAACAGTGTTATTCAAAAGAGCCAAAAGGTGGAAACAAATCCAAATCCAAATATCTACCAATGAGTGAATGGATAAACAAATGTAGAATATACATAAAATATAATATTATTTGGCAGCAAAAAGGAAGGAAATTCTGACACATGCTATTACATAGATGAACTTTGATGACATTATGCTAAGTGAAATAAGCCTGTCACAGACAAATACTATATGATTCCACTTATAAGAAGTACCTAGAGAAGAAAAATTCATACAGACAGAAAATGATTAGTGGTTGCCAGGGACTGAGGGGAGGGAGAAATGGGGAGTTATTGTTTAACGGCGATAGAGTTTCAGTTTGCAAGGATGAAAAAGCTCTGGAGATGGATGGTGGTGATGGTTGCACAACAGTGTGAACGTTTAATGCCACAGAACCATACACCTAAGAATGGCTAAAATGGTCAATTTCACGTTATGTGTATTATCCACAATGAAAAAAATTATAAATAAAATTATTTTTCTGGCATCATATGTATGTATATATATGGTTTTAGAATTTAAAAATAAAGAAAATGAATTACAACTTTTCCATTTTTTAAGGGAAAAGATATTTTGTACCTGTATTAGAGACCATATTACTTAAGTATCTCTTTAGAATTTTAGTGAACTTAATGATCAACAAGTAAAATCATGCAGGAAAAAAGGAATTCTGCAATGGGACTGACCACTGCACTTTATTAGCTATTATTTTATAGTCACAAGTTCTATATGACCAAACAATAAATGTTTCTACTTGTCATAGAAAACAAAGATCAGGCTGCATAATTTCAGTCAATATTCACAACTCAATCACTGTTAAAGCAATGGCATTCAAAAACGACATTAAGGGGGAAGGAAAAGAGCTACCCAATTTTTGTTTCAAAGATTTTTCTAATTTATTTAATATCCCATTCTCATATATCTATTGAAAGGCTTCTCTGTGGGATCACATTCTGTTCTCCTCTACTTAAAATTTACAAAGGAGATAAATGTCTCATCTGATATATGCCATGGCTCTGCCTGGTAATGCCAGTTCCAAGTCTGTTGACTTAAGGGTTAGAATAATTTGTAAATGACAGTAAAATATTTTGATTGCATTTCTAAAATTTATATGTTGGTACAGTATGGAAAGCTAAGAAGATTAAAAATCCATTAAAACTGTCACTAGTATATGAGGAAGAAACAATCAATCACAAACCTTCTTGAGAAGACACAATGGGAGGCATGTAATCAGGAATGTATTCTTTTCTTTCCTCTGCATCTTTACTTCCAGGTTGAGGAAACTGAAGTACATTGTTCTTGCTAACAGGAAATGAAGGAATTTGATGTGGGAAAGTGACAGGTTCAATATTGTGAATATAGTCTTCTAGTTCATGTAGACTAACCCCCATAAGTTGGAAAGCTTCACCAACATCATCCAAAATTGGGTCTGTTCGGCCATCTGAAACAAAGTCAAAAGAAAATCAAATTATTTTATGAAAATCCCATGAATTTTTTTAAATATTAAGAAAAAATTATTAAGTAAATAAGCAGCTCAGAATCAAATATACTATATATCTAAGATTTACTTATTGGAAAGAAATTAATAGATTTTAAACAGAATATCATATTATTTAAACAACAGAAGCTGATTCTTAAAGTCAATTTTAAATGTGATCTGACAACTAACCAGAATACCATAGACAATCACGCTAACAATCAGCTAGTACAAATACCAAAGAACAAATATCAGAAGTGGTTACAGATGGTCACAAGCATCTGGAACAGTGGCTGGCACAAAGTAAATGCCCAGTAAATATCACTATCATTATTTCTTATTATCAAATAACTAGTGGGTTGTATAGACTAAATAAGTGTCCATTACATTTTTTCTGTTGTTCATTGATGTATCTCTGGAACCTGTAACAGTGGCTGGCACATAGCTGGCTCTCAATAAATTTCTGTTGAATGAATTACATGACTGAATCAATTTTTTAAATCTAAGAATATTTACAAAGAAGGGCTTAGATCATGAAGGTAATTTACATATAAATTTTCAAATATGATTAGAAGACATCGCATAAAATGTATAGAGATAAACAGATAAAACGTTAGCTATAATGAGATTTTCTTTACAAAAGCAAGTTTTTCCTATGCTTACCCTTAGCAGAACTTAAGTTCTCTACATCTTTTAAATCGATGAAAATTCCAGTTCCCAATTTCCAAAAACCTAAAGAATTTTTTTACTGAAGTCTTCTATGGTCACTTCAAACTTAGCATGCCTGAAATTAAATCACACTATAAAAGGAAAAAGAAGAATCCAAATTTTGCAAGAATTGGATGCATGTGTGCTCACATGCACATAGAAACATCTGGAAGGATATACAGCCAACAATTAACAGTTCAAGGAGCAGAAGCTGCAGTACAGGGGAATGGTATGGTTGAAGCAGGAGACTTCAAACACTTCTGCAAGTATGGGTTAGTTCTGTTATGTATAAAAAAAATAAAACTATACTAATTCTTCCTCTTATTGAACATAGGTATGCATTTCAACTCCTTTAACTCCTGTTAAAGCCATTACTACTCTCTCAGTCTACAAAATAATCGTATTGAATTCCCCCATATGCTTTGCAGTCTCAACCCTAGATCTTCCAATACTTTTTCTCCTTTTTGCCATGAATTTCAGATTTTTTTCTTTCTCTCTATTCCTGTTACCACTATCTAAGTATAGTTTCAAGTTCTGCTCACTTGAATCTCTCTTGCATTTCACCGCCAGTACAGTTTTCTTAAAATATCAGTTTCACCAAACTATTCCCCTTAGAGGAATAAGTAGTGTTTTCTGTCACGTTTTAATTCTTTTGTCTAGCTTTTAAGTCCTTCTATAACCTGATCTCTGTTGAACATTTTACTCAAACACCCTTAAAATGAACTAGACACATATGGCAATCTGGGCACCTTACTGGTACTTTTACCATGCTTAATCTCACTTGGATATCTTAGTTTATGCTATTCTCTGACTTGGAATACTCTCTGACTTTATACAACCATACTTCATAGCTCAACTCAAATCCCAGCTTTTCTGTGAAGCAATTCTACCCTGGAATCCATAGCCCACAACTCTCTTCCTTTATCTTACTCCTTTTGCATTCACTGCCTGTACCATGCAATGATTAAGTTAAAGTCTTGAAGTCATTTTGAAAGATTTAGCACCTGCTTTTGGTGCATGCATACATATCACATATATAACACAACACATGCAGAAACATCTGCCCCTGAATGCTTCGAGAAACCGTCACCTTAGGGAAATTAAAAAATTCATCATTTGTTGAATTAATAATAACTTCTAAAACTTGCTTTAACTTGAGAACTTTTCTTTAGAAAGGAACAAATACCATCAGTTTGTTTTTGTTGATTTTCTGACACGCTTGCACACACCTTATAAGCAAGGACTGTGCCCTAGAAATTTTATGTCTCCAACACATAGCACAGGGCTTAGCTTATAAGTGGTGCTCAATAAATGTTTCTTGAAAAGACAAAAAGGATGTAAAGGAGGAGAATACAAGATTGCATTCTACCATAACCTAAGGTTCTGGGATTCGATTTTAAAATAAAGATAGTGTAGAAAAGAATCTTAAAATGTCTGTCTAATAAGTATACCAAAATTACCCTTAAAAAAGTAACCAAACCACAAGGGGAATAATGAATCTGACAATCGCATTCTCACTAAACCCAAGAAAACAGACTACAGAAATTGGGTTAGGAACGATGTTCAGATTAAAGCAGCGCAACAGTCCCTTGATGACTTTGGAATACCTAGTTACACGGAGTACTAACACATATTCTGGTTCTGCGTATGTAGAAGGCAGGAAAGGTAGCTATGTATTCAGGGGCTATTTTGAGTATCTAAAGGTACAGAACATCTGTCCTTATTTAGGGAACTCAGTAGCAAAAATTTAATCTGGACTACCCATAAAGATAACAGTATACTCAAGAACCAGGGAGAGGCAAAAACCAGGAGAGTATTCTGTTGGTGGTGTACTTTCAAGATAACAATGAATGAACTTCACTTCGCAGTTCCAAATTTAGAAGTATCAGTGAAATCAAGCACTCAAAAAAATGTACATTTTTGGAACTCAAAAAGTGAAGGCAATAAACACGTATTATGGTAGTGGATTATCAATTCATTAATTTATTCAACAAATATTTCCAGGGTACCTATTATGTTATGGTCCCATACTAGGTTACAGAATACAAATATAATCAATTTCTCTTCTGGGGAGGGGAAGAATCATACACAGACAATTACAAAACAAGATAATAAATAACATAACAGAAATAAGCACAGAAGGGCCGGCCTGTGGCTCACTCGGAGAGTGCAGTGCTGATAACACCAAGGCCATGGATTCGGATCCCTATATAGGGATGGCCAGTTAACTCACTTGGTGAGCGTTGTGCTGACAACACCGAGTTAAGGGTTAAGACTCCTTTACCAGTCATCTTTAAAAAAAAAAAAAAAACGATAAAAAGAAATAAGCACAGAATTATGAGAGCAGATAACATGAGTTCCCTAGAGCAAGTGATAAGTGAATCTCAAAATATAAGAAGTACCAGGTTGACAGGTGGCAAAGGACACTCTAGGAAACAGCATGCATGTAGGAATGGATAGCTTAAAATGTTTTGGAAAAGGCAGGTAGCTTAGCATGGTTGCAGATTAGTATGGCAGGGAGGCAGAAGATAAGAAAAATGCTAGCTCACAAAGGGAGCTGTGTGCTTCTATGAGTTTAGATTTTTAGCCTGTAACCAATGGAGTAGAATTGAAATATTTTTAACAAGAATGACAGGATCAGATTTGTGTTATGAACAGATGATTTGGCAGCACGATGAAAGCAGGAATGGAATCCAGGGCCTAAGAAGTACAGCACATTTGTGGGTCTCAAGTTTTCAGTCTAGGAACCACATTAACAAAACAAAATATCCTATGAAACAGTTTACCCAGTTCTCCAGTTCACCACCTTAAAAATCATAACCTGAAATTTAAATGAGTGACAGTCTCCCCATCCCAACCGCAAAACACACACACGTGCATGCTTCACATCAACAAGATGATGTGTGGCTTCTATTAAAATATTCCATTCCTTCTACTAAATTATTAAATACCACCAGCTATAGATACACCAGACATACACTTAAAAACCATAAATACCGCAGCCCAGATTACCTGGAGAACCTTGTAAATTGCTTACGACCCCTCTATCACGCATTGATAAGCACTGACATAAAAATACAAAGGAGGAAGTCAATGGACAAGTGGGATGTGAGTGAAAGGTAATCTAATCAGCGAAACTTATAAAGTCAGCCTTGGGAAACAATACGTTGAGATGTTGCCTTTGAAATGAACAGACACAGGAATTAGAGGCAGTGTCACTAACGGAGCAGAGCTGTCAACGACTCTAGTTAGGAGCTAAAGAATGGCCAGTCTTGTAAGAAACGGCCGGTAGACGGAGCGCCTGTGACAACTAGTTGTAGTAGTTTGCGGGCAAGAGAGGAAAGGGACCAGGGTAAAAGAGGATGTAGGGCGTTCTGGGGGTGGTTCTACCTGCAGCAAACGTGAGACAATGAGAAAAACGGAGGCACCTTTCAGAGCGGAGGGGAGGTAAGTGGGAGTGGAGCTGGGAGCGGAGACTGGGCTCCCGGACTAGTGGCGGGAAGTTAGCGGATGAGGAAGACGCACCCAAGGGATGACTAGAGTTTGCTGGAGCAGTGGAAGCCCAGGAGCGTCGGAGGCCCAAGGGACAGCAGATCGCGGGGCGGGGTGCGGAACGCAAACCCCGGGGACGCCGAGAGAGGCACGGGGAGACTTGAGGTGTCACTCGTGACTTGCCGGGGCAGCCCTCCCGCACCCAGCCTGGTACTCACAGAGCTCAGAGTACCGGTGGCAGCCCCGGCCCAGCTGCTGCAGATAGCGCTGCAGCACGTCCGTGAGGAGGTGGCAGGCGCTGAGCTGCACCGAGTCCCAGCCCAGCGCCTGGCAGATCTGCGCCACCGAGACCCTCAACAACGACCTGGAGTAACTCTCGCACATCCCGCTGCGTGGACGCCACCGCAGCCCTTGCTGCCACTTCTCTCCAGCCCCGCCGCCTGACCTTAGCAGAGCCCCCGATTCATCCTCTAGGGCCCCCGCGGCGGGGAAATCGTCCCCCCGACCCCGGGCGACCACCTCAAAGCCCCAGCAGCACGGAGCGCGCCAGCCTGAGAGCCGCCATTTTGGCCTCGCTCCGCCTCCTGCTGGACGGCCGCCGGGGCGAGGCAACACGAGACGAATGCCGACCGCGCCGATGAGAAAGCTCCGCCCCGTGGGAGCAGAGCGATGGTCTCGGTATCGATTCTCCGGGCTGGAAGCCGGCCGGAAACGCGCGTGCGGAGCGCAGGTGGAGGATGCACCCGGGGATGGCAGGTGTCTGGGCCAGTCTCGGGGGAGGGGACGCTTACCTGGGGGAGAAGGGGACGGCACTGTTTTAGTGGCAAACGAGCGAGCTGGGATATGACACTAAAATGTTAGAGAGTTAACATTAATAATGGTAATAATGTTAGAGAGTTAAGTGTTAGAAGTTTGGGGCGTGGGAACTTAAGGGGTTCCCCCAAACGCGGATCCGTTCTTGCCTCTGCTTAAGAAAAACTGAATTGTTTGCCCCTGTATAGATTAAATAAAATCCAAGCTGTTCAGCATGTCGTTCGAAGCCCATCATAATAGGACAGGGACTAGGAGGAGGTATCTGTGCCAAGTTAATGGAGGCCCCCAAAAACTTAGTAATCAAGATCAATAATATTTTAATACAATTTTTTTAAAAAAATGAAATCCATGCCAGAAATTCTTGTCTCATTCACTTCATTCTAATCTCAGCCCTGGTTCCGTAAAACTTTTTAAAAATATATATACTTCATTAAAATGTAATTTATTTATTTTTAAATTGAAGCATAATTGATTATA